TCTCTCTGCCCCTCCCCCGTTTGCACTCTGTCTCTCTGTCTTTCTCTCACTCTCTCTCTTTCTCTCAAAATAATAAATTTAAAAAAAATTAATAATAAGTCAACATTTTTGTCCTTTAGTGTCTATTTTTCTGTCTGAAACCTGTTATTCATTTCTAATTCATACTTTACAGTGCATAGTGAAAATATGAGAATCAAATGGAAATCATAGTATTTTAATATGTGTAAGAGAATTATTTTCTTTCTCAAAGGTCTTTTAATCATCTAAAATGCCCTGACTCTGGGCCCCTGGGTAGCTTAGTCGGTTAAGTGTCCAGCTCTTGCTTTCAGCTCAGGTCATGATCTCACAGTTTGTGAGTTTGAGCCCAATTAGGTCTCTGCACTGACAGTGCAGAGCCTGCTTGGGATTCTCTCTCTGACCCTCCCATGCTTGCTCTCTCCCTCCCACCCGGCAAAAAAAAAAAAAAAAAGTTAAAATGCCTTGGACTTTCTTATTTCTTCTTGAACAAGGTTTGGTAGTAACAGATTCTCTCAGTTTTTGTTTATCTAGAAATGTCTTTATTTCTCCTCCGTTTTGAGACATAGGTTTGTTGAATATAGAATTCTCACCTGACAGTCTTTATTTCAACATTTTGAATATTTTATCCCATTTCCTTCTGACAATGAGAAATGATGAGAAATCAGCTGTTCATCTTATTAAGGGTCCCTTGTGCATGAGTTGCTTCTCTGTTGCTACTTTCAGGATTCTTTCTTTGTTTTGGGTTTAAGACAGCTTGACTATGATGAGTCTAGGTTTGGATCCTTTTGCATTTACCTAGCTTGGAATTTGCTGAGTTTTTGGATATACACATCATGGTTTGCATCAAAATGGGACATTTTCAGCAGCTCTTTCTTTAAATATTCTTTCTTCTCTGGGACTGTCCTTCCGGTACTACCATCGGGCATATGATGGTATATGTTATGGTGTCCCACAGGTCTCTGAGGCTCTATTTTTCTTCATTCTTTTTCTTTTATGCTCCTCAGACTGGGTAACCTCTACTGATTTGTTAGCAGGTGTACCAATTCTTTCTTCTGCCTGCTCAAATCTGCTGTTAATTCCCTCTACTGATTTTTTTTTCATTTCACTTATTATAAATTCCAACTCCAGAATATCTATTTTGTTCATTTTTGTAGTTTCTCTTTATTGATACACTCTATTTGGTGAGACATTATTTTCACTTTCATCTGGTTTCTTTAGGTATGGTTTCCTTTAATTTTTAAAATGCATTTAAAAAAATAAATAAAATAAAATAAAATAAAATAAAATAAAATAAAATACATTTAAAATAGCTGAATTAAAGTCTTTGTCTAGTGAGTGCCATGTCTAGGCTTCCTCAGAGTTTGTTTTTTCCTGTATATGGGCCATAATGTCTTTATTCTTTGCATGTCTCATAATTTTTATTGAAAACTGAACATTTTTAAAAGAAATTTTTTAATGTTTATTTATTTTTGAAACAGAGCGTGATCAGGGGAGGGGCAGAGAGAGAGGGAGACAGAATCCAAAGCAGGCTCCAGGCTCTGAGCTGTCAGCGCAGAGCCCGATGTGGAGCTCGAACTCATGAACTGTGAGATCATGACCTGAGCTGAAATCGGACGCTTAACCTATTGAGCCACCTAGACACCCCAAAAACTGAACATTTTTAATAATATAATAATGAGAACATTGGATATCAGATTCTCCCCCTCCTAGGGTTTGTTGTTGTTTGTTTAGTGATTTTTCTGGACTAATTCTATAAAGTGTATATTCTTTGCCATTTGTGGCCACTGAAGTCTCTGCTTGGTTTGCTTAGTTGTCAACTAATTATTGGCAAAGATTTCCTTAAATTTCATAGGCCAATAAGTTTCCCATCTTTTACCAAAAGGCTCTGTATGCATGTTGGGGCAAACTTTCGACATTCAACCAGGTAGTTTACAACTCTGCAGTAGCCTTCAGTTTCTCCTCATGCAGATCCTCAAGATAAGCCAGAGGTGAGAGACTAGGGACTCCTAATTTCTGTGTGAACATGCACATAGCTGTAGACATATACATAACCTTAAACATTCATGTAGTCTTCCAGATTCCCAGGAATAGATCCAAGCTGTACCTCCTGTGGAAATCTCATTCCTCAGATTTTCCTTTTAAGCTTTATGTCTTTTTAAGACAGCCTACTGTCTGTCCCAACTGTTATCCACTGCTTCGGGCAGCCATGATATTATTAAATAAAAGTGCCTCGTTATTTTTGACAAATGCTCCTGAGAAGAATGCTCTTCATACTGGTCAAATTACTAGTCAGATCAAACAAAGATGTGCATTGTGAGTGGGGTCTTCAAGGGAACCACCAAGTATGTCAAACAATGACAATATCTGGTAATGGAGCTTTGGAAATCCAACCCTGTTCTGCTCATGGCAGGGTCTACCAAGCTGCTGGTTCTCACTGTGATTTTAGGCTATTAGTTTTCAAGGCTGTTGCAAATCTAGGGAGAAAAGGATGGGAAGAAAGGTAAAACACCACAGAGGTTGCTGTTCTTACTGAGAGTCAACTAGTTTTCTTGAATAAACACTCTCCAGACTGCACCAAGTCTTTAATTTACAGATTCCTAAAAATGTTGATTCATAACACATGTGTCAGTTGCTTTTATGGAGACGAGGATTTTTGGAGATCTTCATTTTACCATTCTGGCTGATGTCACTTAAAATGCCTTAAAGCTTTTGAATAGTGACAAAAGTCGTATAGAACTTCAGTATCTTTGGGAATGCAAGATGGTGCAGCCACTCGGGAAAGCAGTATGGAGGTTCCTCAAAAAACTAAAAATAGAACTACCCTACCACCCAGCAATTGCACTACTAGGCACTTATCCAAGGGATACAGGTGTGCTGTTTTGAAGGGACACATGCACCCCATGTTTATAGCAGCACTATCAACAATAGCCAAAGTATGGAAGAGCCCAAATGTCCATCGATGGATGAATGAATAAAGAAAATGTGGTATGTGTGTGTGTGTGTGTGTGTGTGTGTGTATACACATACAATGGAGTATTACTCAGCAATCAAAAAGAATGAAATCTTGCCATTTGCAACTACGTGGATGGAACTGGAGGGTATTATGCTAAACGAAATTTGTCGGTCAGAGAAAGACAAAAATCATGACTTCATTCATTCATTTTAAGAGAAAAAAACAGATGAACATAAGGGAAGGGAAACAAAAATAATATAAAAACAGGGAGGGGGGCAAAACAGAAGAGACTCAACAAACTGAGGGTTACTGGAGGGGTTGTGGGAGGTGGGATGTGCTAAATGGGTAAGGGGCACTAAGAAGTCTACTCCTGAAATCATTGTTGCACTATATGCTAACTAATTTGGATGTAAATTTTTTAAAATAAAAGATAAAATTAAAAAAAACTTATTACAAAGTTAAAAAAAACAGAATTTATCAGATTAAACACCCAAAAAACAAATAATCCATCTAAGAAATCCATTTAAGAAATTCCTAAAGATAGAGAACACTTTTCCAAAGAAGACATCCAGATGGCTGATTTGAAAAGATGCTCAACACCACTCCTCATTAGGGAAATACAAATCAAAACCACAATGAGATACCACCTCACACCTGTCAAAATGGCTAAAATTAACAGCACAAGAAAAAACAGGTATTGGCGAGGATGTGGAGAAAGGGGAACCCTCTTACACTGTGAAGGAATGCAAACTGATGCAGTCACTCTGGAGAACAGTATGGAGGTTCCTCAAGACGCTAAAAATAGAACTACCGTACCATCCAGCAATTGCACTATTAGGTATTTACCTAAAGGATACAATAATACACGCACATATATAATGGAATAATAGTCGGCCATCAATAAGAATGAAATTTTGCCATTTGCAATTATGTGGATGAAGCTAGACTGTATTATGCTAAGCAAAATAAGTCAGTCAGAGAAAGACAAATAACATGATTTCACTTACACATAAAATTTAAGAAACAAAACAGATGAACTTGGGGGGGGGGAGAAAAAAGAGAGAGAGAGAAACAAAGCATAAGAAACTCTTAAAGATAGAGAACAAATTGAGAGTTGATGGAAGGAGGTGGGTAGGAGATGGGCTAGATGCATAGGTATTAAGAAGGCACTTGTTATGTTGAGCACTGGATGTTGCATGTAAGTGATGAATCATTGAATTCTGCTCCTGAAACCAATATTGCATATAGCATGTGAACTTAATAGAATTTAAATAAAAATTTGAAAAGAAAAAAAAAAAGAACTTCAGTATCTTGCTACATGAGAAAGACAGACCATGTATCCACCAGAGATCATATAGGGTCCCACTTAGAAATGCTACTAAAGGGGCGCCTGGGTGGCGCAGTCGGTTAAGTGTCCGACTTCAGCCAGGTCACGATCTCGTGGTCCGTGAGTTCGAGCCCCGCGTCAGGCTCTGGGCTGATGGCTCAGAGCCTGGAGCCTGTTTCCGATTCTGTGTCTCCCTCTCTCTCTGCCCCTCCCCCGTTCATGCTCTGTCTCTCTCTGTCCCAAAAATAAATAAACGTTGAAAGAAATGCTACTAAAATGTCTTGATGGTTTCAGGCAGTTGTCAGATGAGACATCACGCTGACCTCCTCCTAAGGAAGATTTCTCATAATTAAATCTCAAACTTGCAAGAAATTGTGCATAATGATTAAAAGCCTGTTCTTTGGTACCAGCTAACTCTGGTTTCAATCCCTGAATCTGCTCCTTAATAGCTTTGTGACCTTGGTCAAGTTACTTAACATTTGCAATACAGTGATAATAACTACCTATTCATTGATTTGTTTTAAAATCTGACTAAACTAATGAAAGTAAAGTGCTAGGTACAGTTTATTGCATATATTACTACTAAAAATGTTGAATGTTCAGCACTACTACTAAAAATGTTGAATGTTCATCTGAATGTGGTTCTTTAAGAGTCACTTTCAAATTGGAAAATAAACTGCTGTGTTTTCTATGCAATTCCAGGCACGGTGGTGGTCCAGCAGTTGATGTCAATGATGATTAGCAAACACGATCGCCTCTTCCCCAAAGATGCAGAACTGCAAAGCAAACCCCAAGATGGCACGAGCAATAACAACAATGAAATTCAGAAGAAAGCCACCATGGGCCAGCTACAGAATAAGGAGAACAATAATACCAAGGACAGTCCTGGTAGGCGGTGCTCTTGGGACAAGTCCGAGTCTCCCCAGAGAAGTGGTGTGGATAATGGATCCCCCACAGCTCTACCAGGTAGTAAAACCAACAGCCCAAGGAACAGCGTTCACAAGCTGGACGTCTCTAGAAGCCCCCCTCTTATGGTCAAAAAGAATCCTGCCTTCAATAAGGGCAGTGGGATAGTCACCAATGGGTCCTTCAGCAGCAGTAATGCCGAAGGCCTGGAGAAAACCCAAACCACTCCCAATGGGAGCTTACAGGCCAGAAGGACCTCTTCACTGAAGGGGTCTGGTACCAAAATGGGCACCCACAGTGTACAGAATGGAACGGTGAGAATGGGCATTTTGAACCCCGACATGCTTGGGAACCCCGTGAACGGTCGCAGCATGAGCTGGCTGCCCAATGGCTACGTGACCCTGAGGGATAACAAGCAGAAAGAACAAGCAGGGGAGTCAGGCCAGCACAACAGACTCTCCACCTATGATAACGTCCATCAGCAGTTCTCCATGATGAACCTTGATGACAAGCAGAGTGTCGACAGCGCCACCTGGTCCACTTCCTCCTGTGAAATCTCCCTCCCGGAGAATTCCAACTCCTGTCGCTCTTCCACCACCACCTGCCCAGAGCAAGACTTTTACGGGAGTAATTTTGAGGACCCTGTTTTGGATGGGCCCCCACAGGATGACCTCTCCCACCCTGGGGACTATGAAAACAAAAGTGACCGGAGGAGTGTGGGAGGTCGAAGCAGTCGTGCCACCAGCAGCAGCGACAACAGTGAGACGTTTGTGGGCAACAACACCAGCAACCACAGTGCCCTGCACAGTTTAGTGTCCAGCCTGAAACAGGAGATGACCAAACAGAAGATAGAGTATGAGTCCCGGATAAAGAGGTGAGGAAAATCTGGAGCTTCTAACTGCCAGAGAGGGCCCGACAGCCCCCTACTGCAGGACAGGTTCACACAGGGGGTTAAACATGCTGGCTCCAGAGTCACAGACCTGAGTTCAAGTCCAGGCTTCACCATTTGTCAGCTGTGGGATTTGGGGACAGTTTGCTTCATTTCTTTGCGCTTTAGGTTTGTACTGTGAAAAACGTAAATATGAGTAGGTTTTACCTCAAAAGCATGTAAGAAATCATCGAGCCTTGTCCCTGGCACAGAATAGGTGCTCGATGGTGCTATCTTCTGCTAGTAAATGTGTGGGTTTGTGTTAAGGGCTGGAAAGAGAGGGGCGAGGATAAATGGAAAGTAAGGAGCCTGTTTTCACTGATGGAAAGAGGATGAAATGAGGGTGAAGAAAAAGTATCAAAATAAACAGACCTTTCTTTTTCATTCTTTTCATAGTTGAATGCTGAGAGAGTGTCTGCACTCTTCCAGGCTCCACTCTAGGCCCTGAAGATTCAGCAGTGAATAAAATAGGCAAAAACTCAGCTCTCGTGGAACCTGCCTCCATTCTACTACAGAGACAGATCAAGTAGTAGAATAGATCAGATGCTAAGGAGAAGACTAATGCAGGGTAGAGGGTAAGAAGCATTTGTGAGGTGCAAGGTCATGTGCAGGGCCTTACAGGAAGTCAAAGAGGACACTGTGCAGACATTTGGGGGAAGAGCAAGTGGAAATGCCATGAGATGGGATGGGCAGGGACTCAGAGAGGGCCTTGGAGATCATTTTAAGTCTGGCTTTTTTTTTTTTTAAGTTTATTTCTGAGAGACACAGAGAGCAAGGGAGAGGCAGACACAGAGAGAGAATCCCAAGCAGACTCTGCACTGTCAGCCTAGAGCCCAACCCAGGGCTCAAACTCACAAACCCTGAGATCATGGCCCGAGCCGAAGTCAGACACTTAACTAACTGAGCCACCCAGGTGCCCCTTAAGTCTGGCTTTTATTCTGAGATTAGAATCCATGGAGATTTTTGAGAAAAACAATGACATGATGTGCATTCATATGGACAAGGGAAATTATGGCCTGAAACAAGGAGCAAAAACTATGATTTATAAGGAAGCACTTACGGTAAAACCTAATTTATATCAGTTTACATCTACTAATAAGATGATCAAGGTAGACGTTTACCTAGCATCTTCTCTAGAGAAGCAATCTAGGCAGGATCAGGGGTGTTTGTCAGATGTTTCCGTGGACTTGAAAGGCGGGAATACAGACAAGGGAGCCCAGGGCTCACAAACAGAACCCTGTGCCAGAAACCAGAATGTCACCACCCCGTGTTTTCACTAGGGTTACAGACATTACAAACTTGATGGTTTTTATGTTCTCCTTTCAGCATAATGTAGGAGATTTAATTCTCAAGTAGGAGAAGACCCAAGGCTCAGTTCAGCATGCAGTTGCCCATCTGTGGTCTCCACCCCAGATTCAGTCTGTGTGACTTGGTGGCCCTCCTCCTGTGTGGGTGTCCTAGGGTCCTCATGGCAGTGAACACCATTCTTTGTCTGGCTTCAATTACTGCTATGCCTCCAAACCCCACATGGCTTCTTCATTACACAGAAAGTCAACTTTAATGTATTTTAATATTTGTTGAATCCATTTGTCAATTTTCAGGCCAAAAGAAATATATTTTCAAGAGCTTTGGTAAAGTAAATATAAACTAAAGCACTACTTATCCATGAAGTTGAAAAATTACTTTCTTAGAAAGTAGTTTTTGTAAACCTTGGTGAGCAGAAACTTGGTTTGAATTTTTCTTTATAATGCCAAGTGGCAGGAGGTTTACATAAGAAGAAAGACTCTCATTTGTGAATGTAGTTTTTGGAACCACTGGCAACCAGAATTCTGAATTTCTGACAATGCATGATGATAACTTAGCACTTAGCACTGGGAAGCAAGAGATATCACTTCAAACTTGTATTAGCAGAGGAAAAAAAATCATTCTGAATGGCTGCCGATGTACACATTCATTTAGGAGAACATTGGTGACGTATTTATGTTCTGTGATGTATAGTGCATTTCAGAGACTTTGATAAAATGATAAAACTTTCCCATAGAATGCCATCTCAATTTCACTATAGCATTCCTACCTGTCTGACAGCCAGAGGGAGAGGGCCACACAAAAATGGGGCCGAGGAGCTGCCCCATACCCAAGCCACAGAAATAGAAGAGGTTAACTGTTCTAGGGGCACCTGGGTGGCTCAGTTGGTTAAGCATCTGACTCTTGATTTTGGCTCAGATCATGATCTCACAGTGAGTTGGAGCTCCACGTTGGGTTTTGCACTGACAAGGCAGAGCCTGCTTGAGATTCTGTCCCTCTGCCCCTTGCTTGCTCCCTCTCTCTCTCTCTCTCTGTGTCTCAAAAATAAATAAGTAAACATTGAAAAAAAAAAGAGGTTAACTATTCTATTTAATTTCTGATCATTCCTGTCCAGAGTCATATTTGTCTCTTTCAATTTCTTTTAAACTACATCCCACCAATATTGAAGTGAAATAGAATTCATAGATAGATGATAGATAGATGGATACTATTTAACTTTGTTTAGTTATCAATCACTGATACATGCTCTTTAGCTTTTAAACACATGACTTTGATGTTCTTTCCCCCCACATTAGTTTCTCACTTTGTTGTATTGTGGTCGGAGAAACTCATTTGTATGATATCAATTATTTGGCCTGGTAAAAACTATTCTTGGGGTGCCTGGTGGCTCAGTCAGTTGGGCATTCAACTTCGGCTCAGGTCATGATCTCACAGTTTGTGGGTTCGAGCCCCATGTTGGACTCTGCACTGACAGCTCAGAGCCTGCTTCAGATTCTGTGTCTCTCTCTCTCTGCCCCTCCCCTGCTTGCATGCTCTCTCTCTCTCTCTCTTTCTCAAAAATAAAACATTAAAAAATAAAAAAAACAACTATTCTTTTATTATTGGTTTGGGATTCTACCCATGCCTAATAGATCAAGTGTGTTAATCAAGTTGTTCAAATCTTTTACATTTCTTCTAATTTCTATCAGACAGATCTATAATTTCTGAGAAAAAAATCTCCTAATGTTATTGTAGACTTATCAATTTCTCCTTATAAATTTGTTATATTTTATATGGAATAATTTGAGGCTAGACTACTAGGTGAATATAGGTGAATAAAGTTCAGAATTTTTTATATCTCCCTGATGAATCAGTCTTTTTATCATTAATAGTCATCTTCAATTATAATAATGATTTTGCTAAAAATCAATTTTTTCTGGTATTCATATTGTTATGCCACTTTTATTTTGATTAGTTACTTCCTGACATAAGAGACTTAAGCTATCTCTTGATGATATTTTCACTATCATTATTTTTCCTTTGATAGAAAGCAAATATGATGTCCTTTTTCCCCCAGCTTTATCACTTCCCCCCTTTCTTCTAGTAAAGCCAACATTACATGAAATGACTCCAGAAAGCCTTGTGGTTCAGGCTGCCTTCTGCATCTGCCATTCTGTGCAGATATCATTCTCTGGCTTCTCTGTGCTGACATTCATTCATTCGCAATCAAATGACGACTAAGTGCTTCCAAAAGAGGTCTTGGGGGCTTCTTGCTAAAATGATAGTAAATTGGGGCACCTGGGTGGCTCAGTTGGTTAAGAGTCTGACTTAGGCTCAAGTTATGATCTCATGACTCATGAATTCAAGCTCCACATCAGGCTCTGTGCTGACAGCTGGAGCCTGGAGTCTGCTTTGGATTCTGTGTCTCCCTCTCTCTCTGCCCCTCCCCCCAACACTTCTCTTTCTCAAAAAAAAAAAAAATTTAAATTTTTTTTAAATGATAGTAAATCATCCTAGCAGAATGAATGAATGAATGAATGAATGAATGAAACTAACACCTTTTAAATCATTGGACCTAGCCTCACTGATTTGAAAGGGCCCATTACAATTTCCTAAGCATTGCAGAGACAGAGTTCAGATAATATTTGTATCCCTGTCACATTTCAAGTGAATAAAATTGCTTTATCTTGTATTCCGCCCCCCCCCCCCCCCCCCATCCTATCTAGCTTAGAACAGCGAAACTTGACTTTGGAAACAGAAATGATGAGCCTCCATGATGAACTGGATCAAGAAAGGAAAAAGTTCACAATGATAGAAATCAAAATGCGAAATGCAGAGCGAGCAAAAGAAGATGCAGAGAAAAGAAACGACATGCTTCAGAAAGAAATGGAGCAGTTTTTTTCCACTTTTGGGGAGCTGACAGTGGAACCCAGGAGAACCGAGAGAGGAAACACGATATGGATCCAGTGAGCCCACTTTTTCCTGCTGTCTCCAATGGATCTGGGAAGGGCTCCGTGGTTCTGGTGGGAACATTCTACGGGATCAGGTGGCTGGTTCCTTGCTGTACAGTGCTCTAACCGGTGAAGGAATATCATTTACAGACATTACCCATCCATATCTGCAATGTGTACCAAAGTTCTATCATGCCCCATAATGCTACTGTCAAGTGTTACAACTGGATTTGTGTATAGAGAGTAGTTTTTAAAAAGTAAACTAAAAATGAGAAGCATATCTCAAGAATTATTTTATTGCAAGTCTTGTATTTAAAATGTTAAATCAATATGTCGTTGCAATTTAGCTTGCTTTCAAGCTTCACCCCTTGCACTTAACATAAGCTATTTTTGGCATTGTGTTCTCATCAGCTTATTTTATAGATCAATATTTTTATTTCCCCTCTTGCTGAGGAAATGAAGATGAGCATATATATAAATATATATAAATATATATCAGATGAGTTATTAAAATCAAAAGAATACTTTGTGGCTGTGCTGTTTGTGCCAATAGACCTCGCCATGACCAAAAAGAGAAATGTAATGGTTTTATAAAATACAATAGAATCACCAGAAACCTTTGATTTGCTCTTGAAATTCTTCCCTCGACACTGCTCAGTTTTCTTTCGAGGTATCCTGACACAGAAGATTTTGGATTTCGTAAAATAGTCCCCTTCTCAAGGCCTATTGTCTACCTGGCCAGTTCCGCAGATGCACGTCTCCTGTGCAGACTGCATTTTTAGGGGGGGGAATGGTACAAGCACTTAATGAGTCATGTCATGAATTACTCTGACTTTCTGGACTGAGTCTCTGTAACTGCTAGATGGTTTCCAAAAAAGCTCTTCCCACTGTTTGGAGATTGGGAAACAATGCTTGCTGCACTGTGCCACAGGAACACTTCTTGTCCACTCAGACTTTTCCTTCATCCTCCAGAAAGCACTTTGCAATGCAGGCAGTGTGATGGTGTGACCGTGACCCCTCAGTTAAGAGTATGTGCCGTATAGTGACACTTTTCTCTAGCTCAGGCCCACTGTTCTGTTGTCACCTGGGATTCTGTCCACAGGACTGCTGGCAGAGGCAGTGCCACAAGAGCAGGGTATGGAGTGGATAGACCCGAAGGAGAAAGAGACACATTTGGAAGAAGCAAACTATTTTGTTTCTAATTTTTACAATATTGTTCTTCCCTCTTGAAAACATATTTGTTCACAGGAATCTTAAGACGTGGATGCTTAAAGGTCCAGTTCAGACAAATTTATGAACATCAGTAATGGTGACCTTCTAGAGAAGCCCAGCGCTCTCTGGACCTAGAGTTTGGGGAGAACAACTCTTCACATTCCAATAAGGCAATGATTTTGAGAAGTCAGGCAAATAAATATCTCTCACACTAGAACAAAAAGTCACAAAAGGCATCATTGCAAATAAAGACTGCTTGAGTTTATAGGATTGAGTTGTTAGAAGGTTCTATGTCTGTATGTAACTTATTTTCAAATGGGGAGTAGTCTTTACACCGTCTATCCTTGTCACCATCCACCTTCCACCAACACACTTATGTGGGCCCTCGGTTTTAACCTCTCTCTGTATAATCATACCTTCTTTATCTTTAGTTTCCTGTTCTCCTTCCAATTCTTTATTTAACCAGATATTTCCACCTGCATGTTCTGTAAGAAAGTCAAATTCGCAATGTACAATGTTGATCTCAATCAGTCTCTCTATACACATTTCATCTCTTCCCGGTCCCTGTCCTAGTGAATGAAAACCTTGGACTCATCCAATGAGTCAAAAGATGCAATAGTAAAAATCAAAAGATCATGTAGTCAAATTGCCTGCATTCAAGTTTTCTATAATTTGCTAGCTGATACTGAGACTTCTAGGTGTTACTTTTTTCCATATAGACTGGGAATAATAAAGATACTCCTCTCATGGACTTATTATGTGGTTTCAAAGATGTAGATTGTTAAAGCTAAGCACAGCACCTCGTGGACAGAAAGGATGCCATGAATGTTAATTCTTACTGTTCTCTCTCCTCTTCTTCACCCTTAAATTCACTCACCAAGTACTATCTATTCCACTCATCCTTACCTTTTAAATCTACTCTCTTTGACCAGTTCCTCCTCATCTCTGGTGAAAGCATCTCCCCTTTTGCAGGCTGTCCCCTCTAGGCCACCCATCTGACTCTGTCATAGCTTTGCTACTATCATGTAAAGACTCTCACTTGCCCACAGGATACGCCCTTCACATGGTGCGTAAAGTTGTGACCTGCAGTTTTATTTTCCTTTCCTCCCACATCCCCAACCCCTGCCATGCCATTTCATGCCTCTGGAACTTTCTACCATCTTTTACCACATCCATCTGGACTACCTTCCTTCTACCTGGCACAATCTTTTTTCTTTTTTTTTTCTTTTTTTAGAGAGAGCCAAATCAAATGTCAGATCCCCTTCTAGGATCTCAACGCCAAATTATCTGACACTCCCACTTTGTGTATATCTCTTTCAGTATTGTCCATGTCTGATTATTATCTTCACCAAATAAGAAATGTTTTAGGAAGCAGCATGCTGGAATGAAAATAGCAGGAAATGGAGAGCCAAACAGACCTGGATATGCATCTCAACATTCCTTAGGCAAGACGCACAGCAATGACAAATTACTGAACCTTTCTGAGCCTCAGTGTTTTCATCTGTAAAGTGGAGATAACTTCTACAAAGTAGGGATGTTGTAGTACTTAAAAGTGATATGTAATGTGACTGTCCGAGTGCCTGCCACTTAGTTCTATTAATAGCTCTATTAATAAATGGAGCCTCCTAACCTAAGAGAGTAGAATTTTATCTTATTGTTCTTAAATCCCTCTGTCTCTACCCTTTATGCCATAGAGTACCAGCATAGAGAATTTTCTGGCCTTTGGCCTATGAGGGTGCTGTTATTAATTTTAATTATTGATCTCAGTGATGATGACCTTCAATCAATGGATACTATGAGTAGCTTGTCCATCTGAGTTTCCATTAGCTCTTCTATTCGGCTAAATGCCTAGAAAGAATTAAATGCAAATTGACATAAAAATGAATTGGAAATAAGTAGGTAGTCTAAAGAGTTCATTTGCTACATCCTGTATAGACTTCTTTAAAACTGTTTAGGTAACTATAATGATTCTTCAATTATGAGCTCAGGAGAAAGGATTTGCTTCCAAGTGTTGAGTCTACAATGTTGGCTTCACTAGCCAAACCATACGGCTGGGTGTCCTTCAGAGAACATTTAAAATAGAATTGTGTGTGATAGTAGGCCAAGTGAAGTCTATACTTTTTTATGTAGCTTCTATGTGTAATTTTACGATGAAATGACTAAAAACTTCAAGGGAAACTTAATAAGGTCACTCCTATTTATTTTGTTTCTTAAAAAGCTGTGCCTTCCTTTAAAAAATGAGGTCATTTCCAGGTAAGATACTTTAAATCATTGATATAATTATCTCACCTTGGAAACTGAGGATAATTTAAAGATGGTGCTGCTGGCCACAGACCTCGGTGTTTCTCACATTGGAGAGCTGCATCCTGCTTGGAGTCGCATCACAGAAAATGATACCTATGAGCTTTTGGAATCAGAGACCTGGATTCAAATCTCAGTTCTGCCACTTCGTAGCTATCAGAATTTAAGAAAAGTTACACGATGTTCACTAGCCTCGATTTGTTTTTCTGTAAAGTAGGATAATACCAGTGCCTCTTCCTCATTTTTTTGTTTGTTTTTTTGAGAAATGAAAAATGAAGTGACTCGCACAGTATATGTTGTAAATGCTCAACAAATGGCAGCTGTCAGCCCTCAGATTACTTCATTGAAAGGGTGTTCCAACTTCTAGAATATAGAGTTCTGGACTCAAGAATATGGCCAGCATGCTCGCCAGCAGAGGGTATAATGATGTCCTTGTCCCACGGACCCTAATTCTACATTTGCCCAGATAAACTGCCAGAGATTTGATGGCAAGGAAGAGGCAAGCCAAGTCATCCTTTCTACTTGAGATAGTACAATTACATCCATGATCTGAGAATACTGTCTAAAGAACTACCTGTAACTGTCCTGCATCAACTCTGTGTGGACGCTGAAGAAAACTTCAGTATCAAAAGTACTGGGCAAAATATAATGGAAATATAAGAATATGACCAGTAAACGTGTCTAGACTCACATCAGCAGCACTATTAGTGAATATTTATTGAACGTGTCTACATGCTACACCAGCATTAGACTAGGTGCCTGGGACACCTATTTATAAATAATTACCACAGAAGGTAATGTACTTATGTACATCAGGTCATAAAATGAGGCTGGGAAAGGCGCTGTAGAGCCATGACTATGATGTAATTCTTAAAGGGTAAGTAGGAAGTTATCAGACAGGATAGCAGTTTGGCCAGGGGCTTCCCCAGTCCACAGAAAAATATGTGCAGAAGTGCCTTCAGTGAAGACCTTAGGGAGCCTTTCCAGTGATTTAAAATGACCTACCAAGTGTTCCCCATCAGAGTGGCATTGTGCATAACAACTCACCCACACACCGCCAGGAGATCTGAAAACGCTTAGGACCCATGTGGCTTCCACTCTTTTATTCAAATGAAACGGCCAGACCTGGACACATTTTGCCTTGTTTGAACTCACAAACCACCGAAAGAGTGCTGGAATTGTGGCTCCCAATGGCCTGTTTCGTTATTCTCTTTATGGTCTTCTTAATTGCACAAGTGGGGAATGAGTTGACTGCCCGGCTTGAGGGCTCCTTGCTGCAAAGTGACATGAAAAACTAACAGCTCCCCAAGCAGCTGAAATCTACAGAACCTACTGTAGATCTTTGAGTAGAAAGTTTAGCAGGAGAAAAGTGTGTTTTTTAATGAGCCATTTGTGGCTCAGGTCCTGGCCTGAATGACACTCTATTTATGGACTATGTGTAGCTGCTACTTTTCTGGCCCCTGTAGGGCTAAGCCCAGGTAAGATCAGCCCATATTGGGAGAGTTA